TTATAAAAAATTAGTTAAATCTATGGAAGGGTGGGTAAAATTCAGATACGTATAGAGACTGGGGATGTGTTACAAAATAACTGCAAGTTTTAGAAAACACTGACATAGCAAATGTTTAAAGATAGGTTTATGTTAAGAAGCAAAAATCATTAAAACTTTTATTTGATGTTTGGTTGCAATATCCATGTTTTAAATATATATGGTTCTTGCTGATATCTCCCTAGTCTTTGAACCTATTCCATTCTTCATAAGTCATCACAGATCCCTGTATCGTATTGATGAATGGATGGACAAATAGATAGAAGTCATGCAGGCAGGATGGAGAACATAGAGAAAAATGTAACCAAATGAGTACTATTGCTTCTTTCTATGGCATATAATCATGTGATAAGTGTTTATTAAGTATTTATTCTGTGTCAAGCATGGTGTCAGGTTTTAGAGGATGCCAAAAGGAGTAAAAAGCACAGACATGTTCTGAGGACCTTATTACTTTTGCCCTTATTGTTAGATTTAGCTTAGAAGTTAGGACTTTAAAATTTGAAATCCAGGATCATTGGGTTCAAATCCAGGATCTACTCCTGTGTGCTCTAATTTTGAGCAATTTACTTAACCGCTTAGTAAAACAGGGATGATGCCAATAATATCTATTTCCTGATGTTGTTTGGAGGGTTAAATGAGAGAATCATGTAAGAGCATTTAGTACAGCACTCAGTGTTTAGTGAGCATTCAGTAAGTTATTCTAAATTAGCTTCTTTGAAATACCTGTAGTAGGAACATCAAAATGAGAAAAGAAGTTTCACTTGTGTGGACACATACACCTACACACACACACCCCATCACTCAAAACTGGTATTAACTTTTCACACTTCTCCTCCCTTTCCTCCTTCTCCTCCCCTTCATTTGCTGCCTTCTCGTCCTCTTTTCCCTACGACTTTACAGTTAATTTTTAAACAATTTATCATAAACTTTTTAAACATATAGAAATGTTCAAACATTTTCCCAGTAAATAACCATAAATAGGTGAGATTCTGTGCTGTAGGGGCATTGATTCACACTAAGCAAATTTGCAAGGAACTAATGGATAAATAACAACATTGCTTGATCAGTGTTTAATGGGAGACACAGCTAGAATAACAATGAATACCTATTATATTTGTTTCTCCCTTATCCTCTGGTACTTGACTTCTGCCTTTTATTTAATAATATGTTTTTTGTATTATAGTTTCTGTATTTTATTGTATTTGTTCATACTTCCTCTCTGGAATAGAAGAAATAAGAAACAAGTATGTAAATAAATAAAAATAGATACTAGTGTTTACAAAGGGAAATCCAGTTAATTCAAAAGAGGAAATCACAGATCAGAAGGTTGCTATGGTAAAGACAAATCAAAAGGGAAATCGAAGGTTGCCATATACTTAGTAAAGCTACTGAAGTAGATCTGTTTTCATCTAAATGATCTTTAAAGGTCAATTAGGACAACAGTTACCCCAGGGCAGTGTGGAAGAAAGTTATATTTAACTAGTCCTTACTCTGTAGCTTTCTTTTGACTAATACTGTTATTAATTCACAAAAAAATCTGTTACTGTTATCGCCTTTTGAAATGTTATAATATTCAAGATTATAGTTTCCCTTAAAATGTAATGAATGTAACAGTAACTGTTTCCTAATAGATTGAGAAGTGCCTTAAATTCTGAAAAATATATTATCTCTAAATCCTTCTGTAAAGTGGGTACTTTGGGAATGCCTCATATACTTTGGGTAGATTTTGGCAATTTTAATTATGAAAACTTTTCTAGGAGCCTTAGAACTTCTAAGCATGTTTCAAGTATTTTTCATATAATTTGAGCTAATAGCACTCCTCCTGTTCAGGCCAACCTGACAGAATACAGCACAACAATATGGTGTCCAAACAATACTACCGAAAGTAATATTATTTCTAAATTTTAAAGATATTTTGTATGCTCTTTAATAAACTTTTTAAAAGTAATAGTTTTGAACATGTAGAAAGGACAAAACAAAAGGGATTTATTTAATGTGAATATTCTTCAAAAACTGAAAATTGGTATCACAGAAAAGCAAAGTGGATTGCTTTGTGTGTGGCACAAGGAGAGCTGGGTGGAATTTCACATTTGTACAAACTGGGTAAGAGGAGTAATCCTATGAGTTATACTGCTTTTTGGTCTTCATCAAATGAGACTGCACTGGCTTCCAGAATAATGACCAAACAGAAGCAGAGCAGCTAAGGGCATGCCTTCCACGATGCCCAGTTTGGGAAAAGCCAAAAAGAAATGACCCAGTATAAAGCATGACCACATTTCCTTCAAACAATCTTTGAGCATTGCAAAGTGGGAGGAGGAGACGAGAGTTAGGAGAGAATTATGAAGCATGCTGAGGTGGGTATTGAAGCATTATTTCTCCCACTCAGATGGCACAAATGGAGGGTTTTAAAGCATGTGGTAACTTACTCCTGAGAAAAGCAGGGACCAGTATTAAAAAGTATGACTCAGCTGACTTTTCAAAGCATTCAAATAAGCATCCTTCTGGTAAAGAAAATTTAGTCAGATTCAAATGCGAGGCTAGTCAGAAAAACAACAACAACAACAAAACCTCCTTCTAACAATATTAATTTTCCAGACTACCCAGATCTATCATATACATAAAAACTCATCACTGAGCACTTGTGGAATAGGTATCTCTCACTTAAAGAAATGATCATTGTCAGCAAAGTTTGCAGTACAGAGACTTTCTATCAAATCAATCTTATTCTCTCATTGATTTCCATTACAAAATCCAAGATGCATTCTGCTGTTAAATCCCATTAACTGCATACCAAGTCCTTTGGAAATGGCACTTTTAAAATAAAAATGATAATATTCTGATAAAACATTGATAGTGATATTTAACATATTAATAATTACACTGTGTTGTATTCAACATGTCACAACAAAAAATGCTAGGATGAAACACAACACCATCTTACAAATTGTGCCTCACATGCCACAAAAGCTAAGAATCCCTAAAACATTAGCAACTTGATTTCTCACTGGCTTCCCAACTATCTGGGCATTTGTATCATTGTACAGCAAAATTCTTTTTATTATTTTTAAATTTTTATTTCTCATTTCCTACTGGCTTCTTTTCCAAAATCTTTGTTCAGAGACCCCTGAATAGCTAGTGATGCTATTCTTAGATGGGGAAAATCAGCCAATTAGGTTCAATCATAGCAGCTTATCCTAGTGCTTGCTGGAATCTCCCTATCATTGGAGGAACTGGGCATCTCCTGAAAGCAATGTTGCAAAGAGAAGCAGTAGATGTGATGAAGGTTGGACTAGACACTTCAAATGCCTTTTCTAACTTCTGAGACGCAGTACTACTCTCTGACATTGGTATCGGTAATATGTCTGTCTCTGTTTACCATTTTATTTTCAACCCAATTGCTTTGCATAATATATGTTAAATGACTGAACGCCTTACATAATATATGTTGAATGACTGATTGAATTCAAATGATGATTTTGTTCTTCAGAGAGGATACTGACACTTTCAGGTGCCGATAGCTCAAGCTAGAAAAATGACTACTGATATTTATCTCCACAGGAATAATGTAACACAGGTGATGACATTCAAAGTCCAACATTCTAAGGTTTGGGCAGGGCATTCTTGACAGTGAACTTTCGCTGGATTTGTAAATACCTTATTTTATCATGATAGTAAATGAATTTTTGTTATAATAGATCACTTGAGTTGGAAGACGCAAATTGTCTCCTAGGCCACATGTCCATAACTCACCATCTACCAAGCCCCTCTTTTATCCATTTTGTATGACCCATTGCAATGTAAAATGCAGCATTCAGGGTTGGCTTTGGCATTTTATTTAAAAATAAATGTTTTGTTAAACTATAATATACCCACAGAATTCTGAAAAGCTAATATCAAGATTGGGATGTCTTCTGAACAAGATAATAAGAGTTCTCAGTTAATTCACGGAGACCATTTTTTAAATCCCATCATGTCTAGAAATCTCAATGTTAGTGTCTCAAAATTGAACAAACCAATTCACAGAAAACACACATATTCACTAAAATGTCTTTGGAGAAATTGACAATAGCAACTAGTACTCTCACGGTGACCAGGCTCCTGTGGTTGTAACGAGTACATTTTTTCCCTGTAGGCAGAACAAGTGGGAAGTCAAATTATGAGCAGAAAGTGAGCACAGAATGAAAACAGAGAGACATATTTTCAAGAAATATTTTTATCAAGGACAGTAGAGGCCCGATGAGACTACAATTTCTTTTTCCTCAATCATGAAACAACTCTCACAAGTGGTCACATACATGTTCTCGTGTTCTTCCAAATTCAAACCATGTTTCTAAGGCAGTCTTGTTTACCAACCTCCACCCCTCTGACACTCATGTTTTCTATGACACAACCAAGTTCAGACTTTCCTCCACTGTGGTAAGATTGTGAAGAGAAGAAAAAGTCAGTATATTAAAATACTTATTAATGATAGGACCACTTATAAGTTAGTCCCCCATTCAAACATCCCTTAACACAAATCTTCCCTCCTGCTCCCATAGTAGAAAACATTTACAATACAATGCAATATATTCAATTATATTGCAAAGTGAAATTGCAAATTGTGCCAAAAGTATAAGATTTTATGATGTCAATGAAAGTGAGATTGGTAAGGCCACCGGCAAATAGAGATTTGTAGAGTTAAATTAACAAATGAAGGTAAAATCAACAGGGAGGGTGACTATATTGCTGCTTCAGAAGAGAATACTTGGAATACAAAAAATTGAGACCCTTGGGGAAACTGATGAAACCCTCTAACATTTTTACAAAATAACTCTCTTTTTGATTATCTTGTAAAAGTCAAATATGAAATAAGGCATGCTGTAAGATGTGTTGGGGAGAAAAAGTAATAACTTTTCCTCCCTTATCGCAAGGTTTATGGCTGACACTCCCATAACAAAAGACAGATTAACAAGAGAAAAGTATCACAAATTTATTTAATCAAAGTTTTACATGACATGTAAGCCTTAAAAAATGAAGACACAATGACTGAGGGAAAACTGTATTTTAATGCTTAGGTGTGATGAAGGATGAACAGTCATGTTGAAGTAGGATTGAATAAAAAGGAGGTATGGCCCAATGGTAATAAACAGGAACCTCAGCAAGGCCTGTTTGTTCAGCTTCTCTTTGGCCTCTAGGGAAGGGAAGAACACCTGTCACATTAAGGTCTTCAGGGCAAGAAGGTCAGAGAGTGACCTTCTTAGGTTTTATGGCTTGCTTTGAGGGAGATAAATTTTAGTTTCTATGATCTGTTTCAGGAGAGAAAACAGGAGTAGGGGAAGGTCAGAGATAACTTCCTGCTTTAGTGGTTCTCCCAATCTCTTTTGGCTCAAAATACTGAGCATGTTAAGGTGCCATACATACTGGGGTATTGTGTTCTGAGCCCCAAAAGGTGCTTTACATTTTGTAGAAAAATTAAACGAACAATAACTTTCTTGATTTATTCATTGTATAGCACATCGTTGTACTTACAACACAAATATTGTTAAATACAGGCATTCTTTGAAAATATTGCTGAGTTTGGTTCCAGCCCACTGCATTAAAGCAAATATCACAATAAAGTGGGTCATGCAAGTTTTTTGTTTCCTAGTGCATATAAATGTTTACCCTATACTCTAGTCTAGTTAAGTGTGCAATAGCATTGTGTCTAAAAAGAACAATGTACATACCTTAATTTTAAAGTATTTTCCTACTTAAAAGTGGTAACTGTCATCTGAGCCTTCAGCAAGTCGTAATCTTTTTCCTGATGGAAGGTCTTTCCTCAATGTCGATGGCTGCTGACTGATCAGAGTGGGTTGCTGAAGGCTGGAGTGGCTGTGGCAATTTCTTAGAAAAAGACAACAATAAATGTCACATTGATGCTTCCTTTCATGAAAGGTTTCTCTAGCATGCAGTGCTGTTTGATAGCATGTTACCAAAAGCACGGCTTCTTTCAAAATTAAGTGTCAATGCTCTCAAATCCTGGGACTACCTTATCAACTCATTTTATGTATAATAATGTTCTAAATGGTTTGTTGGCATTTCATATGTCATAGCATCTTCACCAGAAGTAGATTCCACCTCAGAAAAAAACTTTCTTTGCTAATCCATAAGAAGCAACTCGTCATCCATTTAAGTTTTATCACAAGATTGCAGCAATTGTGTCACCTCTTTAGGCTCTACTTCTAGTTCTCTTGCTATTCCCAGCATTTCTGCAGTTACTTTCTTCACTGAAGTCCTGAATCCCTCAAAGACATCCAGAAGGGTTGGAATCAACTTCTTCTAAACTCCTGTTAATGTTGATATTCTAACCTCTTCCACAAATGAATCACACAGATACATCAGAAAATCGCTATCTATGGCAATTATAGTCTTACAAAATGTATTACTTCAACAATGAGATTTAAAAGCTGAAATTACTCCTTGATTCACAGGCTGCAAAATGGATGCTGTGTTAGCAGGCATGACAACATGTATAACTCCTTATTTATCTCCATTAGAGCTCTTGGATGACCAGGTGCATTGTCAATTAGCAGTAACATTTTGAAAGGAATCTTTTTTCCTAACCAATAGGTCTCAACAGTGAGCTTAAAATATTCAGTAAACCATCATATAAATAGATGTGCTGTCATCTAGGCTTTATTCTTCTATTTATAAAACACAGGAAGAGTAGATTTAGTATAATTCTTAAGGGCACGACAACTTTCAAAATGGTAAATAAGTATGGTCTTCAACTTAAAGGAACCAGATGCATTAGACCCTAACAAGAGAATCAGCCTGTTCTTTGAAGTTTTGAAGCCAGGCACTGCTTTCTTCCTCTAGCTATGAAAGTCCTAGAGAGCAGAAGGCTGCTTCATCTACCCTTATCAACGATCTTAGCTCAGTCTCTTTGGGATAACTTGCTGCAGCTTCTACATTAGCACTTACTCCTTCCCTTGTACTTTGTTATGGAGACTACTTTTCCCCTTAAACCTTATAAACCAACCTTTGCTGTCTTCCAACTTTTCCTCTGCAACTTCCTCACTTCTCTCATTCTTCATAACATTGAATAGAGTCAGGGTTTTGCTCTGGATTAGGTTTTAGCTTAAAAGAATGTTGTTGCTGGTTTGATCTTCTAGCCACATAACTAAAACTTTCTCCATATCAGCAATAAAGCTGTTTTGCTTTCTTACCACCTGTGTGTTTATTGGAGTAGCATTTTTAATTTCCTTCAACAACCTTTTCTTTACATTCATAGAGTGGCCAACTGTTTGGTGCAAAGGCCTAGCTTTTGGTCTATCTTGTTTTTTTATATACCTTCTTCACTAAGTTTAATTATGTCTAGATTTTGATTTAAAAAGATATGTCACTCTTCCTTTCACTTGCACACTTAGAAGACACTGTGGGGTTATTAATTGGCCTAATTTAATATTGTTGTGTCTCAAGGAATAGGGGCCAGAGTAGAGGGAGAGAGGGGAAGAGCCAGCTGGTGGAGTAATCAGCATACACACACACCAGTTATTAAGTTCTGCGTCTTTTTGGGCACAGTTCATAGTGCCTCAAAACAGTGACAACAGTAAAACTAAAGATAACTGATCACAGATCACCATATCAGATGTAATAACAAAAAAGTTTGAACTATTGTGAGAATTACCAAAATGTTACACAGAGACACAAAGTGGGTAATGCTGTTGGGAAAATGGTGCCAATAGACTTGTCCTAAGCAGAGTTGCCACAAACCTTCAATTTTATATTAAAAAAAAGCAGTATCTGCAAGGCACAATAGAGCTATGTGCATTAGAATAAGGTGTGTCCATATAGGACAGAATAAATGTATTTTAATAAAATTGAGTTTTATTTTCAAATAAGGTCTCAAGCAAACCTTTCTTCACTAATTGCTCTGAAATTTGGTCCCTGTTTAAAGTACATTTACTTTGAGGAATACTAATCATAATGGGATAATAAGGATTTCCTATACTAATGAAGCAGAACTTTACCGGTGGAAACAGCCTGGTGCCTTGATGGTCTCTATTTACATGTTAAGTTTTTACTATTTTATTCTTAAAATATCCTCATTTATTTCTAAGCTCTCCTGGGCAGGGCAATAATTTATTATTTACTCTTGGCTGTTTCCTATAGGATTACTTCCAAAGGGTGCCATTATCAAAAGTAAAATGAGTACCTCTGAAGATGACTTGTGGAGAAGACAGATTTTGGAGTCTATCTGGAGGCAGACCTGTATTCCAATCTGCTTTTACCACTTACTAGACACATGGTAATGAGCAAATTACATGTACTCTCTCAACTTCAGTATCTTCATCTATAAAAATGGAGCACTAATAGCTCCCTCGCAGGACTGTGGAGATCAGAGGCAAGTATGTGTAAAATGCCAGGTACAGAGAAGGTAATCAATAGGTGGTAGTTACAACAGCGTAGTTTATTTTGGTTTGTTCAACTGCCAAAATTCTCTTGTGATCTTAATTTGTTGATTACATTGTACATCTGGATACCTTGCATGTGTTTTGCAATATGGACCTTGGGTCACTAGGCTATAAAAAATAGCTAAATATAACTATATTGAAAATATGCCTTTCAGAATGTCTTGCTACATAAATCTCTTAGAATGAATCTAAAATATTCTACAAAACTTGGAGAAAAGATCATAATGAGGTTTGCAGGATTTGCTTTGTAAAATTTTGGTTGAGTCATTTTGTAAGTCAGATGGCTGATAGTTACACAGGAAAAGTCTTGGTGGAATTTTGGCCCTACCCAAGCAATTTTTATAAACATATATTGACTCAAAGCTGAGGACCCCATTTTTCACCATACAAAGCTTAGTGCAGAACAGTGTTGGGAGTCAGATGCTCTTGGATTTGAACCCCTGCTTGACCACTTCCAGGTTGTGAGACCTTGGCCAACTTACTTACTCAAGGTATTGACTAAGCTTGGAAATAGTAAGTTGGTAAGTCTAGTATCTTCATCCATAAAATTGGGGATTATAAAAGTACATACCTTGGGGCTGTCCTTAAGATTAAATGAGACATTGCATATATAATGTTTATATACATACAGCACAAAGTGCTTAATAAATGGTAACTGTTATTTGTAAAATCTTCAAACTCATGTCAACTGATATGTCCTATTTTATTCAAAAAATGGTTACAATATAACACACACCAAATAAATTCACTTGAGTCTCAAGTACCAAATTCTTTGGTTGGTCTTGCCTTACCTTTTGCCTCTAGTTTTCTATACCCAAGTTTCTTTCCTTCTCCTGTTATTCATGAACATGTTTTTTGCCCTAGTGTTTCTCAATGGCTCCTGCCCATCCCCCCAACTGAAACAGCATGGGAGTCAGGGGAGAGCATGGAGAAGGGGAGACCATGTAACAAACTAGCAAAGGGTTTCTCCTTTTGCTGCATTTTCAAGATTCTATTAATAGTATATTCTCCTAAGGGTCCTATTAGTTTACATAGCTGAAGTCGGGAGACAATGATAGCTGATATTTAGTATTTATCTAATAGTGTCAGATACCATGCTAGGTGAGTTACCAAAGATATTTTGACACTTCATAACAATCAGACAAGGCGGATACCACTATTTCTGTTTCTGAGATGGGTAGGTAGAAGTTCTGACCCACTAATTCACTCAAAGTCATGCAGCTAGTTAGCTGGCAGCATCCTTGCGCATCTAATTGCAGATGCATCTGCATCTACATTAGAGTAAATGTACCAATTATACTCATACAATGAATGCTATGAATCTGGCCAACAGAATTCCAGACACTAACAAGTAAATAAATTAGGCTTTCCTTAATCCCAGTAATTCCTGTTTTAATATTCCCTGGCAAATACTGAATTTCAATCTGTGCTTGTTTCATAGAGTCTTTCAAATATTGTGATATCGAGTCCCACATAGTCGAAGGGAGGGAAAGGCAAGGATGGTGATTAAGGTGAAGTGTTTCTTCCATTACTGGTGGAACGAAGTTTCTCATCTCTTAAGCACTGAATTCTGCAATCATTCCAAAAGTGGAAGCGCAGCTCACAGCGCATTTTGGAGAAGCTTAAACCACACTAACCATTTAAGGTCAAGCAAACAATTGGTCAACCCTAACCTGTGTTGTTCAGGGTTTTCATCTCAGACATAACAGATCTCTGTATGTCTCTACATTCCAGCTCCAGACACCAATCGAGTTCCTCTTCTCACCATCGCAGCTCTGCAGAGACACCTCGCTGGAGACCCCACGGTGAGCCTCACGTAAAGGCCCCCTCGCAAGCTCCCGGCTACAGCCTGCGCCCCATATCTACCTGGGCTCCTTCTAGCCTCTTTAACGCACACTGGGGCCATAGGCTCCTTGCAGTCAACTCTAGCAGCCGGACTCCGGCCAGATCTCCAGCTCGGGGTCAGGTGGCGGCGCGCAAGGGCGGCGGCGGCGCCCGCTGGGCGGGGCGGGGCGGGGACTGCGCGCAGGCGTGGGGCGGGCGCAGGCCGCGGTCTCGCGCTGCTCCCCTTTGTTCTCTCCCATTGTGTGGCACTTCCTTCTCAGGCGCTTCTTCTCTGCACCCTGGCAGTCTGTGGGGAGTTCGGGAAGGGGCCCTGGGTGCCTTTTCTGCTTGATTTTGAGTACGTGAGGACCTCCCCGGCGCCGCCTCCTGCCGGTCCCTGCCCCGTGCCCAAGCGGAGGCGGGGTGGCCAGTGTCCTTTCTACCCGCCCCGCGCCCTCGGCGGCTTCCCCGCGGCCCCCTGCGCCGCGCCCCCTCCAGGAGGCGTCCGGACCCCGCACTCCGGACTTTCACCTCCCGACCGCCCGCCTGCCTCAGCGCCGCCGCGGCAACGCGCGACCCCTTCCCTCTTGAGGGGCGCGGACTCCGGATGCGCCAGGCACCTAGGCGAGGGTTGGAGGCCGGCGACCAGCCCGAGCCCAGCCGCCCCGGCGTCCCGGGAGCTGGCCCGAGCGTCGCCGCGACCCCCCCAGTCCCTCGCGCTCACGCTTCCCAGCCGCCGAGCGGCCGCCTCAGCCCCCTTATATAGCCCTCTAAAAATAGCTCGCCTCGCACCGCCTTGTAAGGCAGCAGGGAGATCCGTAGCGCGCCAATCCGCGCCCGCCTTCAGAGCCAAGCCCCGCCCCGGGCCCCGCTCCGGGCTCCCCATTGGTCCTCAGTGACTTCATGAGCCCCCTGTTTACCTTACATGGTCACACGCGGCCTAATGGAAGCCCTCCTCCGAGATCCCACGGCTGCGCGGAGAACCGGGCGGAGGGAGGGAGTTTGGGGAGGGGGAAGAGCAGGAGGAGGAGAAAAGGGAGGGGGAGACTACAAACTAGCAAGGATGGGGTGTGGGGGGGTGGGGAGGGGAAGGGAAGGGGGGGAGAGAAGCGATCGCGAGAGAAAAAAATGCAACCTCCCAAAATAAAGAGCAAAGATTGCATTAGGAGCGAACAGCGCTGCAGAAATAGATGGCAGCTTCGTGTCAGTGAGTTTGCATCCCCCTTCCTGATCCACGAGCTGGAGTGATTAGAGCCCTGGAAGGGAATTGTTACTCCCGTGGAGAAGTCCCCTTTTCCTGGCAGTCGTCTGCACTGTACACGCTGGATGCCTCTCTCCATCCACCCCACTCACTCGCTCCTCTCTCACCTCCTCTCTCCCTCTCCTGCATTGATTTTTTTTTTTCCTTTTTAGTTGACTGAAACAAAACAAAACAAAAGGGCCACTGGATGTCTGCCTTCTTGGGGGGTGAGCCAGACAGACTGACAAACAAACAGCCCCAACTGTGTTCGGGGGAGGGTTTCGCCTCCCGTTTTGCCCGGCAGCAGCAGCATGGACGTGTTGGCTAGTTATAGTATATTCCAGGAGCTACAACTTGTCCACGATACCGGCTACTTCTCAGCTTTGCCATCCCTGGAGGAGACCTGGCAGCAGGTGAATGATTTAAATTACTTGTGTAAATCTTGTGGTGGCGGCGGAGACGCAGGGGCTGCGTTGGTGTGGGCTCTGGGTTGAAATTTTTGTTTGTTTGTTTGATTTTTTTTTTTCTTCCTTTTTGGCTGTCTGTTGTTGAAAATGTTTTCTGAAACAGTCATCTGCGCTTACCTCTCCACCCACCCCTAACCTCGTAGTGTGCCGAGCTGAGCAGCCGGTCCGAACTGCCTGCGTTTCAGTCGCCAACACACATCCTTGCGCACACGTTGTCGGGCTCGCTGTCCCCTATTAGAGATCTGCCGAACTTCTGGGGTTCGGAGGAGCCGGGTGGGAAGGTGGCTTGGGGTGTTAGGAGCGATCGCTGACAGGGACCACGTTCCCGCCTGCATGAGCTCTTCCCACTTGGTACCTGAAATCAGGTTCATCTGTTTCAACTGGTGCTTACGACGGTCGGATGAGGGGTGGGCAGGAGCAAAGCGGAGTGTTTTCTCAGTAATTAGCGAGTGTCAATAAAGAATAGGATCTTGATTTTGAGATTAGCAGGTAGGCAAAAGAGAGAAGAGCCCAGTGACAAAAGATACTCAGGGAGGACGGGAAGATGTAGCTGTCTGAGGCTGACAATGCATTGTAGGTTTTCCCAGTGTGATGCCTCCAGAAAGAGAACACCCTCTATGTGTGTCCTTGTTTCTCTTTTTTTTGTTTGGGATCGTTCTCTAGTTAGGCAGCACAGCCTCGGACAAAGGCTGGTGTATGCTTCCACGCCTCTGATTTTGTCTTAGAGGACTGGTTAACAAACTCTTAGGATGCTGAAGGGCGCCGATGCCAAGTTGACTAGCCGTCCCAGGGAGGATGAAGCGGGGGCTGGTGACAAGTTCACTGGGCTTTGTGAAGTGGAATAAAGAAAGTGCTGGTCAGTGGAAAGTGCTGGCTCTGCTGCGGAAACAGTGGTTTTTTTCAGCAGCGATTAGGAGCTGCTGAGGGGACATTCTGCAGGAAAGATGGTGGGTGGGGGCGGGGGGACACGGGTATTTAAAAATTCTACAGTGTGCACCATGGAAAGTCCAAGAAGACAGTCCGGATTTGCACATAGGAAGTGTGAACTTGTACAGTCCGTCCTGGAGACACCCGCTAGCCCTTGGGGGGAGGGCTGTGAGAGGCTCGGCGTGTGGCTGCTCTTGTAACTTCTAGGCTTAGTGACAGCAGCTTGTTAAGGCTAATGAACGGCTGAATTTCCTCTTCTGCCGGGATCCAAAGCAGGATTTGCCAGCTTGAGGCTGAGATTTAACAGTCACTGCTTGAGCAAAAGAGGCTTGGCTTTTGGTATAAGGAGCTGAATGGCAAAACGGATCTTCTAACTGTACCATTGTTACTAGTTGTTCTCTTCTGGTCAGAGGCTATGAGTTTTTCTCCAGGTATTGGCCTCTGGTGTCTCTGTGTCCACACATGCATTCCTGTCCAAGGACGCTGGCAGATGCTTGACTCTGTCTCTCTGTAAACACATACACAGTTCACATATTTTTAGCATAGAGTATTTTTTAAATGCATCCCCTTCCTTATCCCTAACGAGAGTATCTCATGAAGGGTCTCACTGGATCTTTTTCTTCCTTTTATTCCCAGTGCTAAGTAATCCAAAATGTTGCCTGAATTTCATTTTCTGAAATAGCCTTCATTTCACACTGTCAGCCCACTGGTATGGAATCAGTTGCATATTAACAACTGTCTAGACAGGTTAGAGAAGGGAATCTGTTGATTTAGTCAGCCTGCCCAAGGCAGCCCTTGTTTGTGACTAACTGTGAAGCAGTGTTAGAAGGAAGAAAGTTGGCTTTATTTGTTAGAACGTTCCCTCCTGATGAATCATGCAACTTTGTTTTGGTTCAAGTTTTCAGAGTAGTAAAGCCAGATTTGGAGGAAGGTCTCACACAGGAAACCTGCTTTTCTAGATCTGGCTAGACCATCCAGGACTAGATCTGCAAAGAAACATCATTGGTTTGACAATTAGAGGATGTATTAGATCTATTGTTTCCTAAGAAGCCATCAATGCTCTTACTTCTCCCCTCCTCCCCCTGCTCCTCTGCCTCCTCCCCCTTCAGGGAAGCTCTAGTTTAGTTTCTACAGGCAAAGGATTTTTCACCCTTCCGAACCCCATCGTTTCTTGCCTTAACCCTCTCCAACTGCCAGCCACTCTCATTTTAAAACCCTTAGCCAACTTATTCAGTGTCATGCTTATAGCCAGTATTGATGCATAACTTGTGGGGAAGCACTAATAAACAATATATCACTCCAGGGAGCTTTATGCTCTGGATTCCGTAGTCACAACTGCTCTATATAAAGGTGACTAGGACCATAGGTTTACACTGATGACAAAACCTTTAACCCCTATCCCTTTTTCTCCCTCCCCAAGCCCCCTTGCTGCTTCCGAGTATAAGGGTGGTGATGGTTATATGCAACGGTTAGTTCCAAATCAACTATCAGATGATGAAATTTTGAGACTCTTTTGCTCAAAGCAGCTCAACAAGGTTGCTACTAAGAACCCCAGACAGGAAGAAGTTTCCTTATGCTCTGGGGTAATCAGATTTTAGAGGTCAAATGAAGAGTAATTATTAGATGTTCTTCTAGAATGAGCAGTACCTAGGCTTGTGGAGATGAGCGAAATGTGGAGATTCTGATAATCTGATTTGGTTTCTAGAGAAAGAGTGGCTTGGATGATAAACTCAAGAACATTTTTTACATTTGAAAATTGAAGGTAGATGATTTGGGGATTTTACTTTAAACTTACGATACGGGATAATTGTCCTGCCTAATAGAGAGCCCATGACAGGGCCACCTCCTGTCACGGAGATCCTCGTTTTGACATTGGATTTTCTGGCAATGATGCCTTAGCCACATAGCTCCAACTCTGAAAATAATCGTTGCTGGTATAATTCTAAAATCCAAATGGACATCCCACATTAACAGCTCTCCATTCCTGGGCTCTGACTGCATACTTAAGCACTTGGCCCGAGTAACATCATCTTTCTGCCTGTCATATAACTGTAAATTACACTGTGCTTATGTAGTCTATTATTTTATAGAATTCAGCTGACGCACAATTCTTAAGACTACCAGCCTTAAGCGCTTTGAAAACTTGTAGGACATTTTCCAAGAGCGGTCTGAGCAAAAGCAGGAAAAGGTCAAGGGTAGGACAGAAACCAGAATTTCTTATGGGTTACCACTTGGTTTTGGGTAAAGGCAAACTCATTCATGACTGTTTTTGCCAATAGAAATTATGATTTTTTTTTTTTTAGACACACTGCTGACTTGGAAAATAAAAAAGGATTTGATAGAATAGTTTATTTTCTTATAGAATATATGAAGACTTTTAGAATTGTTACATATTTTATCTCTAGTCTGCTGTTTCATGAGTGCAGGTCAAGCAATGATGATCTAAGTCTTGTTTGGACTTAGCTTTGCATCGTGTCATTGAGGGGCATCGCATGTTTCCTTGAAAAGTCTTATGGAATTATGTTTGTTGTTAATGCTGATTCATAATTGGCAGATGGGGTCAATTTCAGGCCTCTCCTTGCTGGGAGAAAATTTTCCACTGCTACTGGAAACAAATAAATAAATCATAGAACATTCCTCCCTCCTCCCCCGTTCCCCTATTGTTTTAAACTAATGGCATACTTGGCTACTGTAAGGACTAAAGTGTCCCCATACACTGCAATTTCATCTTGGTTTCAGGCACCCTGAAACACTTTTTATGAGGGCCTTTGGTATAAGGATTCTATAGGGGAAAACCTATAGAAATGGTTGCATTCCAAGAACAGCCTCATGGTACCAGGGATGGGATTTGGTCTGTGAACCACATTGCTTCTCTTTTTATGTGAAGAGCTTGCTTTTCACTTCCTTCTTCAGGCCTGGGCCGCCAGGTGCTGTCTCAGCCAGGAAGACAAAGCAAAGTGTAGGGTCTGTCCATCCGCAGGTTTGCTTCTGTCCCCAGTTCGCAGAAAACCTTGTCAAGAATTAGAATTTCTTGGCAACAGCACCACCCAGGGAAATTTGTAGACACAAAGGAGTCTTGCTAGCCACACTGAAAGGATAAAATAACTGGCTTTTTTTTTGGTATGTGATTTGTGTGTTCTTCAGTTACTGTAAATCTGTTTCTTTATTTGAAACAGCAACTTGGTAGATGAAATAAAAATACATCTGCCCCTGTTATCCAGAATTTATCTTTATGAAGATGCAATCACTAAATAGATGTATCTCTAAAAATGAAAGCACATGTGAATGCAATCAGTCACACACTTAGCCTTTCTTGAATAGATTCATTTCCATGTTCCTTTAATAGACACATCTTTGTGTAGGTTTAGGGGCTCTCAAACATTATCATTCAGTCTACCTGTTTGAAGTTTGGTATTTTAAAGTGGGCAAACATTATAATGCAGTTTTTTTTTTTTTTTACTACATCTGTCCTTAGTAGGGGGAAAAGGAAGTCATTATTCTTTGTTCTCCATGAACTTCCCACCCCCACTCCTTCCCCTGAGGAGAATGGGATGTTGGGGGTCCCATCCATTTAAAAGGCAGAGAGAAGATGCAGGATGACAGCCTTGCCCTGAAATGATTTATGTATGGGTATGTCAGAGACCTTAAGCATCCAAATGTGGGCTGCTTCTTTCTGCCAGCCCATTCTAAACATAAATGCCAGTGGGGGCTAATTTGCCTCTCCACTTAAATGGAGATAGTTCAGAGAGGGTCCTAATGGGGCTTTTAATAGCCATTCTCTTATGAATCTTCACATTCTGCTCCCTTCAGAGAATCCTTGTGTTTTCACTTTTTGAGTACAAGAAGACATTACAATCTTCTTTAATCACTCTTTGTGCCTGTTAAGGAAAGAAGAACACAATTTCCTCTGGCCTGTCCCAGCTGGCTCAAGTGGATAGGATAGCTGCTCTGATTCTAGACGGGTTGCTGGATGTCCCTTATCTTTTCATGTTATGGTATCGTGCAGTGGGTTTTTAATT